TCTCTAAAACTTTATGTTAGTCATTTTAAAATAATATAACTATTAAAAAAGTAACTGCTATCAATGTTCTGAAATAAGTTAAAACATTTAAAAATATGAACACTGTAGTTTAAAAGAAAGAAACGGTGGGAAGGAAAAGTAGAGAAAGAAATGCCAATTCCAGCTCAAAGCTTTATTTGCCAAGTTTTCTTAGAATGACTTTTAGCAATTTATGAATTCTTGTAAACAGAATGTATAAGGAAATACTGAAAGACTTTTGCCTAAAGTGGCATTATTGACTGCTAGTGTCATGCTACTGTAATGTAATAAATTCTTAAATTGTTGCAAAGTGCTGTTTTTGCCTTAAAATTTTATTTTGCGTGTCTTGAAATCTATGGTATTAAAGGTATTGATACTGTGCCAATGCTGGGCATGCCTGGCATGAGATAATCTCTTTCATTTTTATAAACTTGTAATAAAACTACGCAAGTGTTTATTAAAAGAACACAAAATAGAAAAAGTTATGGGATTAAAAAAAGTTATGGGGTGAAAAAGTTATGGGATAAAAAATGTTAAAAAGTTGTGGCAAAAAAACCTTTGGCAAAAAAGCAGAAAAAAGTTTCATGAAAAGTTGCAAAAAAATTATGAAAAAGAAGTGATGGGATTTAAAAAACAAGTCATGGGATAAAAATAAAAATTAAAAGCAGACCCCTGTCAGCAAAGCCTGGAGAAGCGGGGCTGGAGTCTCCACCGCCACCGTGTCCCTACCACCGCTTCCCAGTCACCCCTTTACAATTAGGGTAGCAAGACAAGACCTCTGTCTAATGGGGAAAGACAAACAGACCCTTTGCCACCTTGACCAGGGCTGAGTCCTTACATTTCTGGATGACAATGATTGTTATCTAAGAGCCAGAGGCTGGTGGAGTTGGTTTGTTTGGAGGAGGTCTGATGGCCTTTCTCTCACCATAGCAACTTTTCCCTCAGGGGGGCTCCCAGCTCCTTATTCAGAGAGGTAACTGAGGCAGGACAGTGGAGCTAACTGTGGACCAGGCAAGGGCATGGGCTGCTGGGATGGACCTTCTTCCCCAGGGTAAGTATTGTGTCTGTGTAACGTTTTGTATATTCCAGAGGATGGGGCCACCCCTGTATGGTACCTAGCTGTGGTTGGAGCTGGCATGTGGGGAGGAGGTTCTAATAATTATTTGTGGCTGGAAACTTATTTATTGCTAGCACAGGACAGAGGAAGGAGGCGGGGATGGGGTCGTGGCTCCCTGGTGATGCGACTCCTGGTTATTTTCTTTTTATTTTGGAATAAACGGATTTAACCATACTCCTCGGCCTGGTGTGTTCCCGTTTCCCTCAATGGCTCCTAGAGTTTCTGCCACCAAACGAGGAGCCCCAGAGTGTCTTGAGCATGTCCAGCTAGGCTGTTGGGGACCTTCCAGGCTTGTTACCTGTATGCTGCCTGGTGGCACCTGGGGGATTCCACAGGGACTGCCATGGCGCCTACTGGGCGCGGTCCCACCCTGACAGCCAACAGGCTCAGAAGCCTGATCTAGCGGTGGCCGGGAAGACAGGTACCAGCACCTAAGGGCACTGACTTCCACCCAGCCCAGGCGTCTTCCATTCCGTCCCCGTGCCTCCCTCTCCTGTCTGCACCTGGTGGCCTCTTCTGTCTGTCCCTCCAGAGTGCCGGCTGCCCCGCAGGCTCCCTCCAGGCTGAGTTCATGGCCCTGCCCCCTGGTGGCCAGAGCCGGCTTCACAGGATAAGAGCCAGGGAAGCTCCAGGGGCTTTCCAGGAAAAGTGAACCTTGGAAAGGGTATGGCCTTTTCACCGCTCCCAACAGCACCCTAGAAATGGCTTGGCCTTTCCCCTCCCCTGAGCTCCACAGAGAACACAGCCAGCAGAGGACACATTTCCCCGCCATCCAGAAATGGGTGTGAGGGACAGCAGGACTGCTAGAGACTGTCAGGCCACACAGCTGCCTGCACAGCACTCCCATGCTTGGTGGGGGCGGGAGGGATGGCGGGGGCTGTCCGTAGGCCGGGCAGGACAGGGAGGCTCACTGGAGGTGCTGCACTTTGGAGGGGCAATGTCAGGGGACAGCTTTCTCTTGTTGGGACACAGGACTCCAGAAGGACAGCACGGGGACTGATTCCCAGTGCTAGAGGCCAGGTGGCCAGCCACATGTAGGAGAGTGTGTGTGTGTGTGTGTGTGTGTGTGTGTGTGTGTATTCCTTCCCTCCTGCCTGCCTGCCTTCCTCCTTTCCTTCCTTCCTCCCTTCCTCCCTCCCTTTCTCTCTCTCTCTCTCTCTATTTCTCTCTTTCTTTCTTTCTTCTTTTTTTTGATGGAGTCTTGCTCTGTTGCCCAGGCTGCAGTGCAGTGGTGCGATCTCGGCTCACTGCAAAGCTCTGCCTCCCGGGTTCACACCATTCTCCTGCCTCAGTCTCTCGAGTAGCTGTGACTACAGGCACCCGCCACCATGCTCGGCTAATTTTTGTATTTTTAGTAGAGATGGGGTTTTGCCATATTGGTCAGGCTGGTCTCAAACTCCTGAACTCAAGTGTTCCACCTGCCTCGGCTCCCAAAATGCTGGAATTACACGCGTGAGCCACTGTGCCCAGCCAGGACTTTTAACTTATGAGAAGAAAAAGAAACATTGTAAATCAAGAGGTAAAAACAAATTTTAAATCTGAATTGGGGCCAGGTGCAGAGGCTTACGCCTGTAATCCCAGCAGTTTGGGAGGCCAAGGCGGGCGGGTCACCTGAGGTCAGGAGTTTGAGACCAGCCTGGCCAACATGGTGAAACCCTGTGTCTATGTCTTTATGAAAAATACAAAATTAGTCAGGCATGATGGTACATGCCTGTAATCCCAGCTACTCAGGAGGCTGAGGCAGGAAAATCACTTGAACCCGGGAGGCAGACGTTGCCATGAGCTGAGATCGCGCCATCGCACTCCAGCCTGGGCAACAAGAGTGAAACTCCATCTCAATAAAAAAAAAAATCTGAATTGGAAAGGTATAAAAAAACTCAGAATTCTTCTCTTTTTAAGAAACAATAGTACCTAGATCTGACCTTTGAAAAGCTCTACAAGGAAAAAAGAAATCCTAGAGAACCCAGACTGTATTCTCTAACTACATCTAACAAAAAGTAAACAAGATTTTTTATAGAAGTGGTTTCAAAACTAGGGACTGACTATTCCCAAAACAAGCCTGTGAAAGCTCACTGCTGAGAAGCCGGCAAGCCATCAGAGACAGGAGCAGGCTCATGTCAAAGGGAGAAAGGAACAAACTTCAATGGCTCCCACTGGATGGAGATGAAACAATTTAAGCACTGAAAAGTCTAAGGACTGCAAAGGACTAGATGATATACATATACAGATATACATATGTAAGTTCTTAAGAATATAAAATCAATCTCACTGGACACTTATGGAGAATTCTAAGGTACCAACTCTTTATTCTGAAAACTGACCTATGAAGAGAAACAAGCATTTATCCTGCCTTGGGAAACAAACTCTATTTTAGGATAACCAAACAGTTGATCACGGAAAGCTCCTCTGTAAGAAAACTTCCAACTACAAATACAAAGGAAATTATGGAATAAGAAAACTATCATTTTGCAACTCTAAAGGATGACTACATGTAGACAATAATCGAATGGTGTTAAAACTATGAAATAAAAGAGTGATGAGTTCCTGGCTCACAGATGACGATATGAAGAAAAAAAGAGTGATGGGAATATTTATAATAAGGCAGACAACATCTGACTCCAGTGATCAACTTTCACCCCACTCATACAGGCATAGCATGTTTAGTTGTCTCACTTTCTATGAAGCAATAGGAAAAATACAGCACCAACTATGACAAATTCCTATGTCCCCAAGCCATCCCCCCAAAAAAAAGTACTGAACCAAGGGTCCACATATAAGCAGCCACGTGCAAGAAAGGAAAGGCAGGTGATAAAGGACTCTGTTAAATAACACCAAAAGGGTACAATAAAGCTTCTGATGTTCCAATTTGGGCCAAGACAAGGGACAATTTGTAACAAATAAATGACACTAAAAAAAAAAAGACCAGGAATTAAGAGACTTAAGGGTCACATTATCTAAATATAATCCTGGCTCAAAGAAAAATTACAAAATGACATGTATGAAACCATCAAGAAAATCTGAACACTAACTGGCTATTAGATGATATTCAGGGACTATTGTTGAATGTATTGGGTGTGATAATGAAATTGTGGTTATATATTTTTCTAATCCTTTTCGGTTAGAAAAATGTATTTGTTAATAAAATGATATTATTTTATTTAAAATACTCCAGCGAGAGGCCAGGCAAAGTGGCTCATGCCTGTAATCCCAGCACTTTGGGAGGCCAAGGCGGGCAGATCACGAGGTCAGGAGTTTGAGACCATCCTGGCTAATATGGTGAAACCTCATCTCTACTAAAAATACAAAAAATTAGCTGAGTGTGGTGGTGGGCGCCTGTAGTCCCAGCTACTCAGGAGGCTGAGGCAGGAGAATGGCATGAACCCGGGAGGCAGAGCTTGCAATGAGCCGAGATTGCGCCACTGCACTCCAGCCTGGGCGACAAAGCAAGACTCCATCTCAAAAAAAAAAAAAAAAAAAAATTTCTCCAGCGAGAGAGAGAGAGAAAAAAAAAAGAGAGACAGAGAATGAAAGCAGGAGACATAAATGAACCAAGATAAACCAGTGTTGATGATTGCTGGAAGCAAATGATGCTGCCTTGTCATTCTTAGTCTCTCTACTTCTATATATGCTGAAATTTTCCATAATAAAAAAAAAAAAATTTGAGACAGGGTCTTGCTCTCTTGCCCAGGCTGGAGTGCAGTAGCATGATAATAGCCCACTGCAGCCTCAACCTCCCGGGGTCATATCTCAGACTCCTGAGTAGCTGGGACCACAGATGCGTACCACCACGCCACACTGTTTCTATTTTTTCTAGAGACAGGGTCTCCTTATGTTACCCAGGCTGGTCTCAGACTCCTAGGTTCAAGTTATCCTCCCATCTCAGCCTCCCAAAGTACTGGGATTACAGCTGTGCGTCACCATGTCCAACCGATAATAAAGAAATTTAATGAATGGGTTAACCTGAAATGTCTGTTAATATTCCTTTTGGCCAGGTGTGGCGGCTTACACCTGTAATCCCAGCACTTTGGGAGGCTGAGGTGGGTGGACTGAGGTCAAGAGTTCGAGACCAGCCTGGCCAACATGGTGAAACCCTCTCTCTACTAAAAATACAAAAAAAAAATTTCAGCTGGGTATGGGAGTGCATGCCTGTAATCCTCGCTACTCAGGAGGCTGAGGCAGAAGAATTGCTTGAACCTGGGTGACAGAGGTTGCAGTGAGCCAAGATTTCGCCACTGCACTCCAGCCTGGCTGACAGAGTGAGACTCGGTCACAAGAAAAAAAAAATTCCTTCCAGTTATAGAATTTGATGAGTCTATATTAAATTTCCTAAAATATATCCACTGCATGCTTCAGACTAAATATATTGGCTTAATATCAGTAATATTTCTTTAAATTATTACACATAGAAACCACAATGATTACATAGTGGTAAATGTGTTATCTAGGAAAATAAGCTTCAGATAAGTTTTATTTTTCTGTGAAAAAGACACAGATGCCAACAAATGCTTCCAAATGCATAAAGGAGATCATGACCAGTTAGTTTCTGTAGCTGTTGATGAGAAAATAAGATGAAAGAGATTTAAATTATATTACAAGGATGGTAAAATAGATTTTTGCTCCATTTTTTCTGTGTCTTTGTCACAAATTACACCATCATATTCTTCCAACATTCTTTTAATCATTCATTAAACTCTTCAGCATTGACTGAGTGCCTGAAATACACATTACTTTGCTGGCTCGGCACTGTGAGGTACAAAGGTGAGTAACAAAATGAGGTTCTATGCCTTTAAAATGCTTATAGGGGCCAGGTGCAGTGGCTCACACCTGTAATCCTAGCATTTTGGGAGGCCAAGGCAAGTGGATCACTTGAGGCCAGGCGTTCAAGACCAGCCTGGTCAACATAGTGAAACCCTGTCTCTACTAAAAATACAAAAGTTAGCGGGGCGTGGTGGCATGAACCTGCAGTCCCAGCTACTCGTGAGGCTGAGGCTGAGAATCTCTTGAACCCGGGAGGCAGAGGTTACAGTGAGCCGAGATCACACCACTGCTCTACACCCTGGGCAACAGAGCAAGACTCTGTCTCAAAAAATAAATGAATAAATGAGTAAAATTAAAAATAAAATGGTTATAGGATCTTCAACCACAATTTTTCTTGTTCACTGACAGTAAACCTAATAGAGATTTCGGGATTTATCTTACACTTGAAATTTTGTTACTGCTTACTGAAAACGTATCTACAAGCACCCAATTGTGAGTTTTACAGAAATCTGGTCTCAAGAGTTATGAACCAAAGATTCACCAGTGGACCCCACAGGGTTCCAGATCCCCTGAAGTCACGTGCTCCGTGTTGACTGCATTGCTCTGGAGAGGCCTTAATGGTTTTCATTCCTCTTATTCCTCTCAAATGGTAAAAATCAGCAATGGAATGGAGCCACAGACCCTGTAGTGGAAACTTCTAACAATACAGGAACAAGATGAAACCTGGTACCATGTACCTGCTCAGCCTCCACAGATCCTGCTTCTGGAAGTTGAAATTTTTTTTTTTTTTTGAGACAGAGTCTCGCTCTGTCGCGCAGGCTGGAGTGCAGTGGCCAGATCTCGGCTCACTGCAAGCTCTGCCTCCCGGGTTCATACCATTCTCCTGCCTCAGCC